TTATAAGTTTATAATTATATTATATCATTAAATTAATAAAAATATATAATATTAAAAGTAAAAATTTAAATAAAATGACTTAACTTTATAATAATATATCATGATTATTAACTTATAATATTACATAATATTATAATTGTATTATTTTCAAAAAGAAAAATGATACAAATATATAAAACTCTAATTTGTGCTGAAAAGGAAAGAATAAACCAACGGCTAAATAAATCCTATAATCTGGGTGTCCATGAAGATTACAACTAATTAGCCCAAGTTCTGCTGGCCTAATTGATTGAATCAAGCATATGCTGTTAGGCATATTCTGCAGTCTGTAGTAATTGAACAAGAAACTCCTTGTTGGTCACAACGAATCCAATCTTCTATAAGACTATTGATTCAATCCTGAAACAACAAGAAAAGAATGGGTGACCCTAATGTTGTTCTAGTCACTGGATGCGCTATAGGCGGCATAGGTTATGAGTATTGCAAGGCACTTGCGGAGCAAAACTGCCCTGTCTTTGCCTCCGACATCCCCCAACGCATACAGGACATGTTAGATCTCAGCTCAGATAAAACTGAGACGCTAGAGCTTGATGTTACATCTGATGAAAGTGTTTCATCAGCGGTAAACACGGTTATATCCAAGTCTGGTCGTCGCATAGATGTTCTGATCAATAATGCCTGTATAGGAAGTACTGGTCCGTTGGCAGAGCTTTCGCCAGACACGATTAGGGAAGCGTGGGAGATTAGGCCCTGTTTGGTGCAGTTTGTGGAAAGGATTTCTTGATTTCAAAAGTGCAAGTTGCACTAAATATTACAATTAGTGAAAAATATTACAATTTCTCACAAGATAATATTTTTTCCATTTCATTTGCAAATCTTATAAGTATTAATTAGTACTTTTATAAGATTTTCTTATTTGAATTTTAATGAAATTAATACATTATATATATTTTATTCACATTACAATTAGTGAAAAATGCTTAAACTTCTCACAAGATAGCATTTTCTCCATTGCAAACTTAAAAGCATCGAATTGGTACTTTTGCAGAAATTTCTTATTTGGATTTTAATAAAATTAAAACATTATTCATGTTTTATTTTTATTTTTTTTATTTATAAAAACAGTACTTCTACAACAGTTTATTTCTAACAAGATTTCTATTAGAAGCTCTAACTACACCAACGGGCACTAACACACTGGGGCAGCTAAGGTTGGTGCAGCAAGTTGTGCCTCACATGGCCTCGCGGCGCAGTGGTAGTATGTTGAATACAGGGAGTGTTGTGGGAAGAGTTCCTTCCTACCCCATGGGCAGGGTCCTATTGTGCTAGCAAGGCTTATGTGCATGCCATTTCCCAGGCACTAAGGGTCGAGCAAGGGCCTCTCAGGGCAGCAAGGCAACGAGTGCCACCATTTTTGCAAGACATGTAGCGAAGAAAGTGTTGAGTCGTAGACCACCAAAGCAAATTGTGTTTGGTCACATGACTGGTTTGTTTGCTACGCTTCCATTGTCTCCCCTTTGGGTTAGAGATCTGTTCTTTTCGACCAGTTTTTGCTTAAAGAAAAAGGTTTAAACCGCTTAATCTCAGAAACTGCATAAATTACGAAATTCCAAAGTTTTTTTTTTTTTTTTTTTGGGATTCAAATGGCTGAGTTATGTTTCAAATTCAGAGTTCAGTATTCAGTAGTACTTCAGTTTTCTTTTTCCTGGCATCTGTGTTATGTGACCAGTAGAAGTAAAATAAATGAAGCCTTCCCAACCAACAAAAATGCAGGTTCTGCAGTTTAATTTATGAGATGGAATCTAGCTTTAAGCTTAAGAACAAAGGCATGGGGCTCGTTCTTTTGTGAGGAAATCAAATTCAATACATTCATCTGTCTAATCTGTTTCATGAAACCATAAAGATTCAGTACTGATTGTCGTACTAATTCAACTGCCTCCATGAATTTGGTACTTCAGTGGAGCTCAATCTTTTCAAAACTCTTTTACCTTTTATTCTAATCTATAAGTATTAAGGTATGTGTTTAACAATAAAGAATAGACAAAAATACTGAAAAAGCAAAAAGTTTCACATCCAAATCTCTCAGCCCATCAAAATAAAAGAATTTGATGTTAATTATATGTTACCACTTGCTTCATCAAGGACTTGAAGGCACAATTTTTGGTATTAATGAGTGATTAAGTGCCAAGTTATAGCATTGTAATTTAGAGGGCAAAAAGGTCTATCTAAATGAGGACACTAGAGAACAAACCATGAGTTCATGGCAGTGGGGTTAGTGATACTGAGATAGGTCCATATTAAAAGCAGAGGATGAAGAGAAAAAGAGGGAATGAGGCAAGCAGGCCTTCCCCATCTGCTTCCCACCAAAAGGCAGGTGAAAATGAAAGAAGGCAAAAATTTCAGAGGGCAGCAGCACAAAGCTGGTTTGTTATTAGTTCCCGTTACTATTTCTAGTAAAATTAATTGGCCTCTAGTGCATGTTGGGTGGATTTACTCATCATTACTGCAATCAAAAAGGGCTATTGTTTGTACATCTTTCCATCCCAAAAACTCCCTTCCCCGTTTCTCTTTTCAAAGTGAAATAATCATTCTCAATGGAAATTCTGTCTCCATGAAATTGGTCAGGCAAAATTTTCCATGCAGCCACATACATGCTGTATTGAAATTAATAATAAGGTAATTAGGTCATTTTTTGAAATTGACTCTTGAATAAATGCAACGTCCTGGCTAGGGTGAATATGCAATCATTATAAGTTTAGGTACCGTTTGATATGCTTTCACGTTTTTTACGGTCTCATAGCGTTTTGGGGTTGTTTTTGCTTAGTAAATTTTGAGGGATTAGTTTTTTAAAAGGGGTAACAATGATTTTCAATATCAAAATACCTAATATTATCAAAAATACCCATTAATAAATTTTTTATGTTTTAATATCTTCCTTTTGTTTTCTTCTTTAGAGACTACTTTAAACAGCCATAATAATAAACATAGCAAAAAATATTTACCACAAGTCAACATTTTCACATTAGAAAATAAGTGAATATCCATTAAATTTGGCCTGACAATAAAGAGATCTCATGTTCAATTTAGTTTGGCATCCTTAAAATCGCCCCACGTTAAAGAAGGTAATCTTAAACCAGGCGGCACAAGATTTTTATTAAATTTGGTCATCATAGAATGAGCATTAAACGTTGCTTAACAATATTCTCCCATTATTGTAAGGCTTAAATAGAGACAATCGGATATAAAGTGTCGAGGATTAATCCCTCAAAAAGCATGTTCCCAAGGGCCCCTTCACTCATCATTTGAGGAATAACAACTTTGATACAAAAGTTGCCATCGTAGACGGGTCTCCATTTTAATATGACCTTATTGACTCACTTTATGATGAAAAAACCTCCCCAAATAAAAGCTCATGTAAATAAATATTTATAAACCCAATTCTTATGTAGGAACTCGCAGTATCTATACCATTTTTTAAAAATTACTCCTCTTGTTCAACGATTATGGTTTTAATTTAATATTTTAATTTTTAAATAAAAAATTTTAATGAAATTTTGATATTATAATAAATAAAAAAGGGTAACCTTGTATAATTAAAATTTTATTTAATTATATAATATTAACTATTAAATGAATATTAAATCTTTTAATATTAAATTTTTTTATTAAATAATTTTTATTTTATAATTTAATATAATAAGATTTTTAATAAATAACTATTAATAAATAATAAATAATTAAAGAGGCCAGGTGTTCCTTTTTGTCTGGAAGCTGGTGTTGACTACCTCCAACCCCAGGCCCGGCCCGGGCCGGATGAAAAGCAAAAAATAAAAGGATCTCCTTTCGCTTTTTTTTTTTTTTTTTATCTCCTTTCGCTTTTTTTTTTTTCCAAATTGCTGAGCTGCCTCATTCTCACATTCACACTCACACATCAATAATTCTGACAATTACTGGTTTTGTTGAGTGACAAATTTTTGCCAAATAAAAAATCAACCAACTGTTACTTGGAGGGAACCAACTTAATTTTTTTTAAATAAAATTTTTAATATAAATTTTATGATAAAAAAATAAAAATTTTGAAAGTTTTTTTATGAGATTTAATAAATTTTAATTTTAAATTAATTAACATTTAATATAATTATCGAATACTAAAATCTTAATATAAAAAAATAATTACCAAATAAAAATCCCGTTGGGGCTCATCAACATTCGAGATTTCTTTGCGGACTGTTTGGAAATTGCACAATTGCTTTACGATGCCGCCTTGAACTCAGGTCCCCAACCCAAATAAGCAGAGCGATTTAACATGAAGTTTAATTTCAAATTTTATAAAATATTAATAACAACAAAAATAGGATAATTTAATTATGTATTAAAATACATACCTCAAATTTAAATACATCTCCCAAATGGCAACGTTTAAGTTAACTAATTTGATAATAAAAGGATATCAATAAAAATAATTTTTTATTTTATAATTTAAATTATATTAATTTATAAATAAAAATAAAATAAAATAATTTTAATATTAAAAAATCACTCTTTATTTAACTATTTTTATTATGTAATTGAAATTCCATAATCTATACAACAGTTAAAAAAAAAAAAATTGAAGAAGAAGATATTTTGCCGGTGTTTTGCGCATGAGTTTTCTTCTCCCCTTTTTCTTTTATCTTTATTTTATTTCAAAGATGGTAGACCAACAGTACATGCATTAATTCCATATGCTTAAAGTCTGATGGCTTGAAGATTGAATATTTAAAGCAACCAAAAGAAAAAAGTTCTTAATTAATTTCTGTCCGGCCGTAAGTGTCTGTCTTAATCAAATTATTTTGCAGGTACACTAGCTTTACCAATATGAAGTACCAAAGAAAAAAACAAATATGGGGGAGATATTTTTCCCACGGACATTCAATCAACATAATCTCTACTGTATTCTACGTCATTGTTTATGTTTTACGTAAATTTTTATTCATATAGCACATTATTTAAGAATGTAAAATTTTAAATTTTAATTAATTTTAATTAATTATTAAAAAATCAAAATTGATTTTAAGTTTATTAAATTGTTAATTAAAATCGTGTTCATGGGCTATGTCATTAGTGTAGAAATTAAAGTTAATTTTTGTGGTTTTTTATATAAATTAATAATAAAAATATAAAATTAATGCATTATAAAATTATACTGTATAAATTTTTTAATTAATATTTTATATTTTTAAAAATAAAAAAAAATTTACAACCACAACCGACAAATGATGTTTAAAAATCATCATATTTTCCAAAATAAATAGAGACAAACGAAGTTGATGTGAGTCAGTTAAAATCAGATTATCTCATGTAATAATTTAAAACAACATAAGTTGAAGCCTGCATGAGTTAAAAGTACACAAATCATTAAAATTTAAACCTACCGTTGTTAATAATAATTAATTTTTATATTTATATATCATTTTTTTTATATTAATATTTCGGTATTCAGCAATTATATTAGATTTTGACTAATCCGAAATTGAACCGCATAAATCTTATTAAAAAAAATGTTCTTTCAGCATCTGTTTCTCTATTTACAAGATTCGAACTTGAAATCTTATTTAAAGAAAATTAAATTTTTTTCACAGACAAATGGATTGTTGGTTACATTTATATATCATTTATAATTATATTCTTTTTCCATATGAGATGAAGGTATTAGATAATTGAAAAGAGGGGGACTAAATTGGAATATTCTAAGGGAATCAGAAACCCAACTCAAGCTGAACTTGAAAGTTGAAAGGGAGTAGTCGGGCATTCCAGTTTGTGCTACCCTCAGCTTTGCACAGGCACCTTAAATTTGGTAGTTAACCTGCTGCCTTGAAACTGCAAACAACGTGCCCTAGGCGAGAAAGCCAGTCAAAGGGTCCCAGATACCCAGCAGCACTTACCATGGAGGCCAACCACATTCTTGGGAAGCGGCTCGTTCTCTTCTTCCAGTAGGCCTGTGGCCTGTGGCCTGTGGGTGGAGGATTGATCATTGATGGAATGGAATGGATAGATGCCCTGTCTGCGCTGGGTTGTAAGTGGCCAGTTGTACAGTTTGAATTTTGCCGTCTAAAATTCTGGGTAAATTGCACATACTTCCATAGTTTTTTATGTTTCCCATGACTATTCAAATGTTTATAAATTTCATGTAGTTTGAGAAATTACATGCACTTTTCTCATGGTTTGATACTTTGGGACTTTTCAATCTT